GGCGAGCTCAGACCCGGCTCCGCGGCGCCCGCGTCCTGCGCTGAATCCTGCCCAGTCTTTAAAAGTATTTACGTGAGTAGGTGCACAAAAGCTCGTGTGCGCACGCACTTAGGCGCATGCCTACTGCAGTGTGCAGGACGCGCCGGGCTGCAGGTAAACATGGCGACGCTCAACGCCGCGGCCTCGGGCGGGGCAGAGGCTGGAGTCCAGGCTGAAGCTTGCTTTCCTGTTTCTTCCCGCTCTCTCTCTGTTTTAATCCCCACCCGAGGACATTTTCCCCCATTGCTTTTCAGAGAGAGTGGGGGGGATGGAGACAGAAACACATCACTGACTTCCTCCTGGGCCGGAATGGAACCGGCAGCCGGCGCGACGCTCTGCCCGCTGGCCCGAACCCGCTGGGCTGAAGCTTTATTTGCTCGGGCAACTTCCCCTCTCTGGGGGGACCTGAAACCATGCATTGCTAATACATTAAAAAACAAAACAAAAGTTGTGTCAGTGTCCTGCCTCTCACTCTCCGACTACAGTCTGGGCTGGGTCCTGGGTTATCCTTTTATTTCACCAGTGGGTGAAAATACCTTCCAAACCATGGACCGCCACATTTCTACTGTGGCCAGAGTTCGGCTTATCGGTGAGTTGCCAGCAACTGTCATCCAAATATCTTTCTCTGATTTAGTAATAAAATAAAAACACAACCCATCATTTGCTCACATTATTCTAGCTATTTGATGTTTTATAAATATCCAAGGAACTTCACTCACATTTTAAGTTTGACAGGCTAAACTGTCATCCTACATTATGCAGGCAGAGAACAGTGAGGTACTGGGACCCACACCCACTGGCATACATCAAAACTGTCACTATGTATTATACCCTTTTAAAATGCAGGCTTTCAAATGGCAGCAGTGTGATGTGGCTTTTTTCCTTTTTGAAAGATTTCTCAGATACAGCGGTAACAAAACATAAGAAGGCCCAACCTGCCCTAATGAGCTAGGTTGAAAATGATTACTGAGAGCTAATTCTGTTTAGAGGTAATTTTAATCTAGAGTCTAGTACCATCCCTTTGTACCTCCTGTGACAACTTTCCAAGTGTCTTGCACCACAAATTAAAGCTGTGCTGGTGTCACATGCATTTTCCTAAAACACAGCTCTGATTATATCACTCTCTTGTTCCAAAACCTGGGTGGAAAGGCTGAAATCCTCTATGTGGCACAGTGGCTCCCCACCCTCCCTTTTCTTTCCCTCCCCTATGCACCAGACCAGTTAAACCAGAATGAAGCTTGGAAACTGAGCATCATTTGATCAGGGTGGAGAATGAGAATCTATGCCCCTCCATCTGCTGCCTGGGCTTCCATCCTGTTCATCTCTGCCTGTTGCTGCTCCTCAAAAGCCACCTTCTCCATGAAGCCTCCCAGGACCCCCTTCCTCTGTAGTGCCACTGTACTTTGCATCTCTTCCACAGCACACAGGGCAGACTGTCTGTGGGGACAGGTTATCATATTATGAACCAAGCAGATGCAGAGAACAATGTTACTCCTTTCCTCCAGTGGACAGCAAGCTCTCTGCACACCAAAGGCACTGCATCCAATAAGGCTTTGCTGAAATGAATTGTGGTTGGCAGGGGATAGGATGTTATCCTTGTTAGCAGCTGAGCCAAGATTACTTTTTTCCCTAAAGTAGAACTCTCTCTTCACATGTGACATTTATAGAAACAAAATATAAAAAACCAATAAATAGAAGAAATCTGTTTGAAGTTGGGCTAGAGGGCCTATGCCCCCTTCTCTGCTCAACCCCATCTTACCCTCCCTTTCTTTTGGGTCCCTGGCTTTCCTTGCAGTTAGCAAACCAGTTCCTTAACCATGTACCGTGCCCCATGTTCCATAGTTTGCTTAATGACAAATTCTCATTAGGTGAGAGCATTTGCAATATAATCATGAGAAACACTGATAGATTATGAGACTAATGACAACTAACATTTATTAAGTATTGAGGTGCCAGGCATTGTTCTGGGCACTTCACATGAATTATCTCATCCTCACAAACTTAATGAGACAGACACTATTAACACCTCCAATTTACAAGTAAGGAAACGGAAGCACAAAAAACTAAGCAGCTGGGCTGGGACCACCCATCTGCTGAGTGTTAGAAATAGGATTTCATAGATATATGGGGACCAATAATAAAACAATGGGGAATCCAATAAGTTAACAAAAATAAAAGACTGATCATCTTCGGATTGAAAGAAGTCGATTTACCAGTTTTCTTCTGAGAAGATTGAGAAGTTGCATTGACTGCAAGGTTAATATGACCCAAGTAAGGTTGCTAAAGGAAGTTAACATCCCTTGAAGCTACATTCACTGAATAATGGAATAATGGCAGGTCTCCCCTCCAGGCTGGCCAGACAATTAGGTAATGGAGTGGAGTTCCAGGAGCTGTGCAGTATTTTCAGAGACCAGGGCAGATTGAAACACAGAAGAGAAGGCTGGCCTCATGTTTGGCAGCTGCCCCTCCTCTCCCTGTGCTGGGGACATTCCTTAGGCCCCTGTGGTTTTCTTTCTATAGCTAACAACTCCCACTTTTACATTTCCAGAGCAAGTTTTCTTCTGAGCTCCAAATATAGCCAAGAGTCTCCTGACACTGGAAAATTTGGGGTGCGAGACCACTTGGCAGCTCCTCCAAATCACTGAACGCTCAGTCCTTCCCCCTAATCTGCTCACCCCTTTTTAATAAGTTGCACCTCCAATCACCTAGTTTTTCAAGTCACATTCTTAGGAATAATACTAGATGATCCCCTTCCCTACACCTGCATCCTATAACTTTTTCCATTCTCTATATGTTCCATTGAGGGTGAAACCTTCAGGGTCTGTTAGATTAGCATGCTTTCTTTTTCATGTATCTAGCAACGGGGAGATTATTTTGGGTTTATGAAAGATTATCAAAGGAGACTTTGGTCCTATGATACTTCTGATTGCACATGAGAACCTTCTGAATTCAATTCATGGTGTAAACAAAGAACATACAGTTTATAGTCACTGGGACAGTCAGAACTTCTGCAACAACATTGCTGCCTTACAACACTCAGCCAAAGTAGAAAGTTTTTTTTACAGACCGTAAAAAATTTTTCATTAGAGTGCAGACATTTATAGAAAGCCATGAGTCAAAGTCAAGCCAGTTAATTTTTTTTTTTTTTTACACCATTTTCACCAAATACATTGGCAAAAACTATAATACCCACTTTTAGGAAGAAATAGGTACTGTCATAAACTGGTAATAAGAGTACAAATTGTACAACTTTTTTTTCCCTTGTGCTTTTACTAGCATTTATTTTATGCTGAATTTGCTCCCAGGCCATAGGTTTTTGTTTTTTGTTTCTTCTGGGATATGTTTTTCTTCTGTGCAACCTCCCCTTCTGGTTTAGAAACAAGCTGCTCTTTTTCAGGAAGGATCACCTCCACGTGGCAGGAGAGCTCAGAGGTGGGTTAATCTGCCCATGAGCTCTATAAGTCCTGCAGTGCATCTTGGGGGCTTTGTTCACCTGGATATGCTCAATGACCAGAGAATCTACATCTAAACCCGTAAGTTCAGCATTGCTCTCCGCATTTTTAAGCACGTGCAATAAAAATTCAGCACTTTTTGGGCCGCCCACCCTGGGTCCAGCCCCACTGTTTTGCCTGGGCACACCTACCAACTCCACTACTGTAATGACGGAATGGAACACATTGCTTCTGTAAAGTGACATCCTTCAGATACTTGGCGGCTTTTCGGATGTGATTGCCCTTGACGGCCTGGGCAGGTTCACGAGTGTTCTTAAAGTGAACATGAAGATTTGAATCTCTTGATTTGCATGATTTTGTGGGGTTTTCTGAGTCAAGTGAACAATGAACCATTTTCAGAGGTTACCTCAGGTTGCTTTCAGGAAGAGCTACTTTTGGACCAGTTATTTTTATCATAAAATGGGGAAGAAAAATATGCCATAATTTGGCACATAGGGCCTATTTCTTTTCCTTCCTTCCTTTGAACCAATACAAAAGGTTAAAATTGAGATATTTAAGCAGGACATGTGGCTTGATTTCAATGGAGAAAAATCATTTACTAAATTTAAAGATGCTAAAAAAGGGAAATATATATAAAATATAATGTTACTGTGTGTGTTAAAATATTGCTGGATTCTCATGTGTAGGTTTCTAGTGGTTTGAAATGTTATACCCGGAATTAACTTTCAGAACTCTGCCTCACTTACCACAATTTGTATCTATGTGTTTATTTATGTTGGTTTGCTCAGTATCAGTCTCTGTCCTTTTAGATCTTTTTATGGTGACATTTTGATTCACAATCTTGCACCTGGTACCAGTCAACCTCTGGGATACACAGATGCTCAATAAATTCTTGTTAAAGGTATGAAT